GGCCAGCCAGCATGCAAACTGAAGAGGGGTGGAGGTGGAGGGCTAAGAAATGGAAATGCTTATCTACACTTTTCATCCTTCCTGCCCAAATCTCAGCTACCCAAAATGCCTGTTACACAAGTTAGAAATAAGAAGAGCCTGAAGAGGGATATAGCTGTACAATTAGGAATGAGGGACATACCTGAGACACATTGTTGGTGTAACAGAATAGGTTTTATGGATTAATTGGTGTGTAGTGGGCAAATGAAAAGGGAACATCAAGGATAATTCTCAGAATTTTCAGCTGGTGGATTGGGAAGATGGTGATTCCATTAATGTGAGCATCCAATTAACTACAGTTTGGAAGGCTACTGGTTACACGTTCCAGTTTTCAGAGGCTGCAGTGTTCTTGGCGGGTCAGGCAGCTGAGACCTGTCTATAGAAGCCACAGCTAACAGCAGTTAAAAGGAACCATAGGTACTGGTAGTGCCACCTAAACAGACATTTATTTAAAACTAAAGAACCTGCCATGTTCCTAGCATTTGGGAAACAGATGCACATAATAGATAAAATCCCAGTCCTTACAGAGCTTCCAGAAGCTCTGGAGAAAGACAGTCAAATATGCAACAAGGGTAAACTCATGGTAGGGGAAGCACATAACAACCTAACCAAATGTGGGTTGTGGGAAGAATGGTCAGGAAATTTTTTCTGGAGAAATTAACTTTTAAGCTGAAATTCAAAGCATGAGTAAGATTCAGCCAGGGACAGAGCAGGAAGTATGTCCTAGGAAGGGTAAAGGCAGAGGTGTTCCAAGCAGAGACAACAGCATGGGTGAAGACCAGAAGCTGCAGAGCTGGGTTCATTCAAGAAACAGAAAGGGTTAGACTGCAGATCTGAGACTGGAAGGGTGGATGGGTGGGCAGGGCAGGGCCAGGTAGGCCAGGGGAAGGAGCTAGGGTATTTTCTAAAGCAACGTGGATCCACTGGAAGCAGGGGAGCACCATGAACGATTTTTTTCTTTTAGAGAGATTATTGGGTTACTGCATTGTGGAAAGTGGATTGATGTGAGCAAGAAAGCCCAGTGAGCAGACGATTATAGAAACCTATAGGAGATGAAGGAGCCTTGATTGAGATCATGAAATGAGTGCACTGCAGAAATTTTTTTTTTTTTTTTTTTTTTTTGCTGTACGCAGGCCTCTCACTGTTGTGGCCTCTCCCGCTGCGGAGCACAGGCTCCGGACGCGCAGGCTCAGCGGCCATGGCTCACGGGCCCAGCTGCTCCGCGGCACGTGGGATCTTCCCGGACCGGGGCACGAACCCGTGTCCCCTGTGTCCGCAGGCGGACTCTCAACCACTGCGCCACCAGGGAAGCCCCCACTGCAGAAATATTTAAATATGATTCCATGGGATCATATATGGCAGCTAGGGAAGAGCTGACATTGACTGAGATGGAGGACAAGGACAGTTCAGCTGCACACGTGCTGAGTGCCTTTCCCTCTCTCCCTCCCCCACTCCCTTCCTTCTTTCCCCCCCTCCTTCCTTCTCCCCTTCCCTCTCTCTCTCTCTCCCCTTTTAACATATATTCCAGAAGCCGTAAAGAGGTGATAGCACCTGACCATGACTATCTCTGCACTCAGGCCTCTCTGCTGACTGCCCTTCATTAAATGACTGCAATCATGCCTCACGCTCTAATTGTATTTGCAGTAATTTTCCCACTGTCAGTTAACACACCTATAACTTTCTTTGCACCTTCTCTGTGAAAGTGCAGACTTCATTAGCTTACTTCAGGAACTTCCCTTTACAAACCTTATGCTGGAGGAAACAAAAATGAAGTAAATAAACAGAAACTTTCCAGGCTTCCAGAGAAATGTCCTTATTTGTAGACTATCTTACATAAATGTGCATGGAAACTAGGAAGCCCTAATTTCAAGTATATAAAGAAAACAAAGTGAACTAATTAACGCCACCCGTTTGGAGCGTATTTAGATCTCCTCGCTGACCCCAAACTCCTGGCCTTAGCTACCTGAGGATATTTACTTTCTGTCCCTTATACTTCCTGCGGCCTGTCATGAGAGACAGCCATGCAGGAAAGAAGTGCTGTGGACATCCTTCTAAAATGCACCCATGGATGCACATCTCACAGAACTCTAATATTAGTAACCATGATAACAATCATTACTTGTTTTCAGTCTAGTGCAGTTTTGAGTACATGAGAGTAGCATCTAGACAAGTCTGGGGCAGCAGAGTGATACCAGCAGGGCCAGGACTAGGGCCCAAGGGACAATAAATACTACACATGCAGAACCCTGAGACTGACTCCTCCTTAAATTTTCTTTTTTATTGTGGTAAAATACACGTAACATAAAATTTACAGTTTTTAAGTGTACAGTTTAGTGGCATTAAGGATGTTAACACTGTTGTGCAGCCATCACCACTATCCTTCTCCAGAATGTTTTTCTTCCCAAACTCCCCACTTGCCCCTTCACCCCAGCTCCATTCTACTTTGTCTCTATGAATCTGATGAGTCTAAGTACTTCATATAAGTGAAATCATACAGTATTTGTCCTTTTGTGACTGGCTTATTTTACCTAACATAATATCCTCAAGTTTCATTCAAGTTATAGCATATGTCAGGATTTCCTTCCTTTTTTTTTTTTTTTTTTTAATTTATTTTTGGCTGCGTTGGGTCTTCGTTGCTGTGCATGGGCTTTCTCTAGTTGCGGCGAGCAGGGGCTACTCTTCGTTGAGGTGTGCTGGCTTCTCTTGCTGCTGAGCACGGGCTCTAGGCGCGCAGGCTTCAGTAGTTGCAGCATGTGGGCTCAGGAGTTGTGGCATGCAGGTCCTAGAGCACAGGCTCAGTAGTTGTGGCGCACGGGCTTAGTTGCTCCGTGGCATGTGGGATCTTCCCGGACCAGGGCTCAAACCCATGTCCCCTGCATTGGCAGGCGATTCTTAACCACTGCACCACCAGGGAAGTCCCAGGATTTCCTTCCTTTTAAAGGTTGCATAATATTCCATTGTGTGTATATAACTGTACCACATTTTATTTATCTGTTCGTCCTTAAATGGACACTTGGGTTGCTCTCATATTTTAACTACTGTGAATAATGCTGCTATGAACATGAGAGTACAAATATCTCTTTGAGTCTTTGCTTTTAATTCTTTGGAGTATGTACCCAGAAATGGAATTGCTGGACCATATGGTAATTCTAGGTTTAATTTTTTGAGGAACTGCTATACTGTTTCCCACAGCAGTTACACCATCTTACATTCCTACCAACAGTGCACAGGGGTTCCAATTTCTCCACACCCTCTTCAACACTTGATATTCTCTGGGGGTTTTTTGATAGAAGATACCCTAATAGCTGTGAAGTGGTATCTCATTATAGTTTTGATTCACATTTCCCTAACGATTAGTGACACTAAGTATCTTTTCATGTGTTTGTTGGTCACTTGTATATCTTCTTCATAGAAATGTCTCTTCAAGTCTTGTGTCCATTTTTAATTGGATTGTTTATTTTTTGTTGTTGAGCTCTAGGAGTTCTTTATATATTCTGGATAATAATCCCATATCAGATGCATGATTTGCAAATATTTTCCCCATTCTATAAGTTGCCTTTTTATTCTGTTGACGGTGTCCTTTGATGCACAGAGATGACTTCTTAAATTTTATGCCATAGGTGCCTCCCTTGCCTCACCCTAGTCCTGGCCCTGACGTTAGCCCCTCTCTTCCAACAAAGCATTTGACAAACTTAAAGGATCTGAAACAACCAAGATTGCACTTGGGTTCTGAAAGTTTCATTAAGCACAGAATTTCATTCTTCCATCTGAACTCCTTTGACAACCTGGGATATCCAAATATGAACGTTGTTTCTGAAGCATAACCTAGGCTATCCTAATTTTTATAAGAGATAAATAGCCTCAAAGAAAGATTGCTGAGGCGACACCCACTGTGTATTCCCTCAGAGGAGAGAAGCTTTTAAACTCTTATAAAATGATTACAATCTGCCAGGCACTGTTCTATGTAATTTACATGTGCTAAATTAACTCCCTTAATCTTTACAATAGCCTTATAAGCTGTATGCTGTTTGTACCCCTATTTTATACATGAGGGTAGGGGGAGAGAAAAGTTGAATAAATTAGTGAAGGTAACACAGCTAGTAGGTAGCACAACTAGGATTCAAATCACAGAAGCCTGGTTCCATATTCCATACTCTTAACCGATTATAAACTGTAGCTGATATATCATCTTCCCCGTATTTAGTTTTAAAAGTTATTTCAGACTTTGGCATCTTCCGGTGCAGTTTGTTTCCAGCAAACTGCATTTTTAGGCTTCACTTAGACATTGTGGCTCCTCTCCTAGCATTTCTTTTCCTTCTCTTGGCTGACAGAAATGATTTATATTCTATCCTCACATGAGAAGGATCTGAGCCTCCCGGAGATCCATCTATTCCTACTTAATACTCTATCCGTGGCTATTTCCACGAGCTGAAATCTAGGCCCATAATTAAACCCCAGGTCTACTGTATTATAGTAATAATGCTCAGTCTCTGCCTCTCCTACCCCAACAGGCTTGGAGAGCTAATGGAAAGCTATACTTAACACTTAGGCACAGAAAAGCAAACCCCACTTGTCTGGCTGAGAGTGAGCAAATGGGCACCACCTTAGCAAGTTCAATGTCTCAGCAGGTCATGTCTTTCAGGGAAAGAAATAATTCACGTTCTTATACATTTTGTTTGGTTAATGATGTGTTCAGTGTTCTCCCATATTCTTTTACCATCACTGAGTTTTAATGGATTAGGTAAAATAGCCAAGCCCAGCGCCTGAAACAGAATGTCTCAATGAATCAGTCTATTTATCCAGAAAATCCTCACTTCTGTAGGTTCGGGAAACACCTCGGCTGTTAAGCGTCCCCTGTGGCTTCGCTTCCTCTGCCTGGACTCCAGAACCCCCGTGACCTTGAAGGGACTATGGCTTTCTCCCCTGATGCCCTAATCACTGTGATTTGTCATTTTCTGCAGGGTTCTATGGATCTACTCTGAGACGGGTACATGGGTGTATCCCGTGTTTGCCAAACTCAGCCCAGTGGGTCTAGCAGCCTTCTTCTGTCTCAGCTACATCTTTAGCGTCGGCATCTACCTATTTGGAGAGAAGCTCAACCACTGGAAATGGGGTCAGTTCATTTCTCTTACCTACAGAAACACTTCTTCGTTATGCTCTCTTGACTCCTCCTGGAAACAGAAGGAGAAACCAGGAAAGCAGAAGGCAGTGATGTTTGATGCTTTTGTCCAGAGCAGGCAAAGGAAAAGCCTGGGGGAAGTTCATACTTTCTCAAAGGACCCCATCAAATTATCTCCCCGCCTCCTCCAAACAACACCTCATTTAGCTTTAAGGCTAAAAATCATCTTGTGTAGAGAGCTTAGGACCCAGAGAGCACGGGTATCACCAACCCCTGCATGAAAAAGCAGACTCAAGGTCTCTCCCTCCCTTAAGTGAGGACTTGAGGTTCACAAGTTATTAAATGCCAAGAATTCCTCTTTGAAAGAAATGGATCCAGATGACCCTCTCAGCTCTTCCACCCTCAGCAGTGCCTTCCCTGATGTGTCCCATCCCTCTCTCATGAGGTTGCTTCTCAACCTTTAGTAAAGTGTTCACCAGGTGGAATCACACCCTGTACTTGAGACTGAAATTCTCACTTGGGGTTTTAGGCAATGTGAATATGCCAGTAAGCTAAGCTTTCTAATTATAGGTAGGCAGAACCACGTCTCTTCTTCATAGAAAAAAAGCAATCTTAACTTAGTTGATTTCAAAGTGGAAGATTTTATTCTCTCCCTGCTTCTCCTACTGCCCTCACCCCCAGAATATTTTCTGTCAGAAAAGTAACCACGAAAAAGTCAGGTTGCAAAATATCCAGGATTTTTTTACCTATCCAAGGAGAAGTGCAGGAACTCCACTCTGATTTTGTATATAAGGAAGGCAAGAGTCACACACAGTCCCCCACATCACACACCCACATGCCATTCTGTTCTATTAAAATAGAAGTGGCATCTTCCGCCCAATCTATGAACTGGTGTGAAAACATAAGCCTGTGTATGCAAAAAAAACGACAGTTTCAGAAGGTTCAGTAAAAGAGTCTGTATTTCTGAGAGGAGACTGAGACCCTGGAGAAATAAGCATGCAACTTGGCTTTTTCACATATTTTCTGCTCTTGGAGAATTTAACTGGTTGAGAAAGCCTCAGAGGCAATATCCTCCTTGAAAGCAAACACTTAAAAAATGGAATACTAAAAATGACTCAAAAAATCAGGATTTCAAATCACAGGAAATTATCCAGAAAAAAATGTGTTGACATTTCAGATGTGCTGACATCTACTTCTAACTAGTTTTGGCTCCTTGAAGTTCTGGGTAGATTGTTGATGCCGTCCCCAAGTCTATATTAAAAAAAAAAAAGAAAGAAAGAAAGAAAGCAAGACACTAATCCATTTAAAACTTGGCAGAAAGTGTGCAGAGAAAAAAAGTGATTACTCAGTGCTTAGAGAACAATAACTTTTTAAATCAATACTATTTTCAACACAAAGCTCTTTTTAATAAGCTTCATTGTTTAAGTGCTATATCCAAATTTCCACTACAGTTGGATCCCAATGAGCAAACAGGCTGGCATCAGCATGTGGACCCTCATTTGCATCATGCATATGTGAATGTTCATGTGAACGACGGACACTACCGTCAGTGGCTATGCGTCTCTCTCTTCTCTCTAGATTTTTAACACCTTAAGAATAGAATGGGTAAAAAGTTCTATATAGCATCAGAATAGGATCATAGATGTGTTAAATTCTGAACTGATCTTAATTATAGATGGTTAACTAAGAAACTAAAAAGAGAAATTAGATCATTTAAAATTCCAGTGGCAGTGAACACTTAAATCACCTAAAACCAAACAGAGCTATATATGTGAACACATTATCCCGTGTCCTATTCCGCTGAAAGCACTGTAAGGCTTCCCTCATCAGATGAAAATCCAAGCCCTTGGAATGGCACACTGTGACCCAGTCCCTGCCTTGACTCTTACTCTCCTTCTTCTAAACTTGTGTCCCAGCAGCACAGAACCGCTTGTTTTCCGTACACATTGATGTTTCTCACCTCCAAGGGCTCTCTCACTTCCCCCAGTCTTTGCCTGTCTCACACCCACTCATTCATTTCAACTCACCTCTTCTAGGAAGCCTCCCCTGGTCTGCCCCGAGATTTGTTTTTACACTAGACCCTGAGTTTCTTAAGGGGTAGAAGTATGTCTTATCCATCTTTGAATCCCCCATTTCCATTAGCTTCCCCAATATTAAATGGATCAATCAACACAAATAGAGAATATTCAAGGCCTCTTCTCTCTAGGCATTAAATGGGACTTTGTGCAAAGTTGTTCTGGAGACAGTGGTCAAGGAGTGACTCTACTGGTTGGTTTTAAAGTGTTGGACAGGGAGTTTAGGAGCATAGGAGGGTATGATATGGTACACTGGTGAGAGAGTTGTCGAAAAAGAGATGAAAATTAGGGCAGGCAATACAAAACAGGAGAAGGGCATCGGAACAGGAATCAAGAAAACTAGGGTGTGTCCTTCACCCGGCCACAAACCAACCATGTGTCCTGTACTAATGGACTTCAACTCCTCGCTGATGAGATGACCTATAAGAAAGGCAATTGCACAGCTCAGTTTGCCTAGGACAGTCCTGGTTAATGCCTGCTGTGCCAGTGTGAACAGAATTTTACATTGCCTAGGCTTGGACAACACATTGTGCGGTCCCTCTGTCACTGAGTCCCTCTCTAAACCGTCTGTTCTGGACCTATGGAAACATGTAAGTGGCCACCTACTCTGTCCAGATTCAGGGCTAATTCTACTTTCTCACCTTTTCCCACAGCCTGAGCTTCCTTGGATGAGAGCAGAAATTCAAAGGAGTGCTTTAGTGATGCAGTGGGCGGCCGCGGTTGGGAGAAAAGTTCTGTGCCTGATTGCCTGGGTTCCTACCTTGGCCTTACCACTTATAGACCTGTTTCACTGGGCGAGGCACTCAATGTCTTCGTGTTCCAGTTTTCTCTTACACATCATGGAGACAGTATTAGTACCCTCCTCCTGGGATTCTGGAGGATCATAAATGACTTGGGAAGTGTCAACTGCCAAGTATAGAGTCTGGCACACAGGGTTAGTCACTACTGCTGTTAATTTCATTCTTTCCAAGGAAAAATCACTAACCTTCTTTCCTATGTGGATATTCCAATCATCCCCTTCAACTTCACGCATAAATTACCAGTTTCCCCAGCCGAAGGTGATTAAAAGTAACAACCACCTAACTGAGTGCAAACTGACAGAGATGGTGTAGTTCCTGAAGGACTTACAGAGTGAAATAGGTTAGGCTAATTGAGATTAGAACTGATCAGAATCTCTGCTTCTGAAATTTCTGAGCCACACTGTGGCCCGGTTGAGAGTCACCAGCCAACTAACCAAGTGATCAAGAAGTATCAGTCAAGACCCAGGTAATATGCAAGTATCTCTCCAGCAGTAATGCTCGATCTTGACTGCACATTACAAAATCACTAGGGGAACTTTAAGAATACTAACTCCCAGGTCCACCCCAGACCAATTAAATCTATCTATGGAGATGGGGACTCGGCACGGGTATTTTTAAAAGCTTCCCAGTTATTTGAATTTGCAGTCAGGGTCAAGAACCACTGTCACAGAACAGCGCTTCTCAAACTTGTATGTGCCTGCAAACCTTGTTAAAATCAGGATCTTGTTAAAATGTAGATTCTCATTCAGTAGATCTGGAGGACAGCTTGGGATTCTGCCCTTCCAACATGTGCCCCAGAGAGACTGACACTGCTAGTCTGAGAGCAAGGCCCTATGTGCCACAGGACCCTGGACTCCTTTCAGTTTAAATAGTTTTGCCTACAAGCATCCTTGTCCGATGTGGTGTTCTCCCAAGTCAGCTGCTTGGCTGAGAAGGGTGTTGGAAATGATGGTCACATCTACCCACTTTCTGCCTCCTCGTGTGTCATGTCAGTGGGTGAAGGTGAAGAAGAGATTGAGAAGGACAATAATAAGGAGTGATACCAGGAATCAGATGTAGACTTGGAAAGTGTGTGACATTCTCCAGGGGTATACAGATGCAGAGAGCTGACCCTGTGCGCCAGGGAGACAACTGTGGTCAAGCCCTCAGGAAGGTCCTTCTGGCCTTCAAAAAGCTCTCAAGAGGTTCCAGAGGGCCACCCTGCTTGACCTGACAGCATCTCATTTCCTGACCTGTGCTAGCTTTTCGGTGTCACGGAACAGAAGGGTGGGCAAGCACTGAGTCAGTTACTGGGACCAGATACCCACCAGGAAAGAGCCCATTTCTACTTTTCAGGCAGAGCTATAGGTGAAACACTGATTTCAAACAATGATGGAAGCTGGCAGGGGGAAGCAGTCTTTGGTAGATCACTGAAAACTTCGCTCACCATGTCTGAGCATCTAGGGATACTCCAGACAGATTATTTCCACTCTGAATGGGAGAAAGGGGCTGTCAGGGGGTCCCAGTATAGGCCTCCTTCTCTGCCACTTAACTACTTAATTTTCTCTTTTTTTTTTTTTTTCCTTCTTGATAAGACATAAGGATGCCGACACCAGGACACAAGTCCATCAGGAAGAGAAACCCGATCTACAAGATCTACCAGGCACTGAAAGGGGCTAAGTGCCTCCAGGACAAAATGGAGGGCCTCTTATATGTAGGTGTAGCTGGAAAGGCAGTCAGCTTACCTGTGGCCCATGGCACCTCTCCTTACATTCACTGAGGGATATATGCCAGGGGTATCCTTTGTCAGGGCCCAAGACCACAGATCCTTTTCACCCAGGATAGTTTATAAGCTGAAAATTCCAATCTGGCCAAGTGACCTTGTGACAGTGCCTTGGACAGAATGATATTAAAACTTTCCTTTAACACTATTTCCTACAGATCAGATTTATTTAAAGGAGATTTTATTGTTGAAAGCTGCTTAGAGGCCATCTAGTTTACCTCCTTAGTTTTACCCATGAAGAAATTTATTATAAGGTCTGTCTATCTTCCATGTTGTCCCTAATCATTTCATAAAAAAAAAATCTTACCATGAGTTGACTCCACGGGTATTTATAAAGCATGGCCTCACTGGGCACCA